AGATGTGAGTTTCAGCAGCATTGTGTCTAGATAACTAAAAGCCCCAAGAGAGGGGGCAGCCAGGCAGAGAGTGGAGCCCCTGTGCTTGGCCCCAGCTGGCGGGGGCTGATGCCTGCGGAGCCCTGGCATTGCAGGGAAGGAGCAGCTGTGTCCTGCTCTGTTGCTGGCTCCAGGGCCCCCGCTGCAGGCCTGGGCTCTGGGGCCCGGTGTCTGCCTCCAGCACCACTGCGAGGTCGTCGGGCCCTGATCCAGCGGCCTCACTGGACCCCCCTCCCATGCAAGGGCAGAGGTGTCTGCAGGGGTGACCCTCGCTCCTTCAAGCTGGCCAGGCCTCAGCCATTCCAAGGCACCGTGGGCAGCTGCCTGTTGCCTCTCTCTGCCCCCCAGCTGCCCAGCCGGCCCCGGCTTTCCCAGGAGTGCCGGGATCTCTTGCAGCGCCTCCTGGAGAGGGACCCGCAGCAGCGCATCTCCTTCGAGGAGTTCTTCGCCCACCCCTTCGTGGACATGGAGCACATGCCCAGCTCCGAGAGCCTGAGCAAAGCGGTGAGTCTGGGAGGTTGCTCCCCCTGGCACCGCGGTGGGGTCGCAGACCCGAGCCTGATCTCTGTGAGGCTGCACAGACCCTCACCCCTTCCCCTGCCGCCTTCTCTGTGCCAGACCGCCCTGGTCGTGGAAGCTGTAAAGAAGGATCAGCAGGCAGACCCCGCGGCGGCCCTCTCGCTCTACTGCAAGGCCCTGGAGTATTTTGTCCCTGCCCTACACTGTGAGTGACTAACCCTGTTACTCCCCCATCTGCCTCTTGTTCCCCCGTGGCTGGGCCCCATCAGGACGCTGCCCCCAGCAGGCACTGGAGACAGGGGCAACTGGCTTCATTGTAAAGATCCCCTCCCCGAGTCCCTTTTGAGCCTGGGATCTGGGAATGGTGTGGGGATTTGGGGTTGCTTTAACACTCTGGTTTGGAGGGCAAATGGGAGTATTTAGAGTGTGGCTTCTCCCACCTCAACCCCGCCAGGTCTGGAGACTCACCTTAAGTAAAGGAGCTCCATGCGGGCCAAAAAAGGCCAGGGCACGGGCGCGGCTCCCTGCCCCCCAGGTGTCCTGGAAGGGGGGATGCCACGTGCTGAGGGTCAGTAGACTTAGGGGAGACGCTCTGGGCCGGGGGCTGGCACTGTCAGGGTGAACGCTGATCACGTCATCTCCTGCAGATGAAACTGATGCGCGGAGGAAGGAAGCGATCAGGTCAAAGGTCAGTGTGAGAGCAAGGTTGGGCCAGTGGTTAGGGAGCTACCTGGAGACTTGGGAAACCAGCGCTCAAGTCCCTGCTCAGCCAGACTCCATGTGACCTTGGGCCAGGCTCTTTGCCTCAGTTTCCCCAGCTGCACAGTGGGGGTAATAGCACTGCCCTACCTCTTGCGGGGGGTGAGGATAAATACACGACAGGCTGTGAGATGCTCCGAGTGAGGAGGAGGGTGGAGCGATTTCCTTAGCTGGTTGGATGGGCTGGGTGAGGCTGGCAGGGGAGGTAGGTTGGATGGGTATGAAGGGGAGGGAGTAGCTGGGAATTAAAGGAGGGCTGGCCAATGGAACAGTGGGCCCAGCATTATCTGTGGGTGTATCTGGCGATCTGGTCACCTGCTGCCTCCGTTCTCCTCCACACCCCCTCCTGTGAGAGCCAGCGACCGGTGCTGTGTCCTTGGGGCCAGCCGGGCAGGGGGTAACATGCCAGGCACCTCAGGGCTTGCGGCTCCAGGCCTTCCCCTGCTTTCCTCAGGTGGGTCAGTACATCTCGCGAGCGGAGGAGCTCAAGGCCCTGGTGACGTCCAACAACAAGACCCTCCTGCAACAGGGCAGCCCCACCCGGAACATCCTCCGAGGTAACGCCCTGCATGGGCCGAGCCACCCCAGGGATGGGCCCAAGACCGCTTGCCCTGGGGGGGAACGACACCGCATCTAGTCTGTACCATGTGACCAGGGGCTTGAAAGGGGGAGAGAATGCTGACTCCACATGGGAGGGCGGGGCTTGCAGCGATGCTCCTAGCGGATTGGCTGCTCCGTCTCCCCTGGCTTTGCAGGAGTGAATCCGAGTTTCCCTCCCTGGTGGTGGGGTATTCGGCCTCACCCCTTCTTGGGAAATCTCCTTGCAGAGATGGCCAGGGACAAACCCCGCCTGTATGCCGCGCTGGAGGTGGCCTCGGCAGCCATCGCAAAGGTGAGTCCTAGGGGACAAGGCGGTTGGGGGGTTCTGTGCGTGGCCCACGAGATGTTTGTTTGCCGGTTCCCACGCTCAGGGTTGCCGGACTCCGCTGGTTTCCATCCAAGGCGGTTTTTTCCTATCTGTACAGCTGCCGTGACACACACATCGCATGAGGGCAGGGGAAGGGAGGGGCATGGTGATTGCACACAGCAATGGCTGTCCGAGCTGGGCTCTTCTGCGGTTCAGTCGGCTCCCGCTGCCAGCGCCAAGTACGCGAGCGCCGTTGGCAAAGCTCCTCTATCCCGGGAGACCAGCTTGCAGCCCACTGAGGTGGAGGCCACTCATATGGCCCACTCACTAGCCTACGTTGGCTGGGATAAGGGGAGGGGGTGGTTTGTCCTGGAAAGCAGCACAGTGCCGGGAAATGGCTATCCCTCCGAGCCCCCGGGCACATTGACGGTGGAGAAGGCTAGAGATGGAGTGAAGCCCGCTATGTTATATTAACAGGGGCCAAGTTAAAAATTGAGAAGGTCACTGCCTGGGAGGAATCGGGGGGCGGGCATAGACGGGTTATTGAGTAATAATGTATGCAGTGGCTATGTCATTCTCCCCATTTTACAGATGGAGAAACTAAGGCAGAGGTTGGTGAAAGAACTTGCCCAGAGTAACCTAGCGAGTCAGTGGCAGAGTCAGGAAAAGAACCCAGGAGTTCTAATGCCCAGGCCTCCAGCCAATAGGAAATAGTCCCTCCTTGTGACATCACCCACTACATCACTTCCTCTTGTCGAATTTGCACCAATGTCCAGCCTTAAGGGAACTGCCCTCCCGTATATTCCCTGCCTTGGGAAAACTGATCCGCCTCGCCTGCAGATCTCTTTCAGCCCATTGTCTTGCTGCCAGTTGTTCTTTCGTAGCAAACCTAGAGCAAGTGACGCTGTAGAAGGCACCAGTTGGTCCCTGGGCCACAATTGCTGGCTGGTTAAATGGTGGGTGGGGGGACTTGGTGCAGCAGCGGTTCTGTGTTGACTTCCAAGAGCCCTCGGCGAACTAGCAACCCAGCTACGTTTGGGAGAGGGGCAGAAACGGGCATGCAGAAGCCAGGCTAGTACTGTATTTCAAGCGCAGAGCTGCTGCGGGACCGCCCCCGGGACCTCTGTAGCTCTGCCCCCCCCCCACTCCCGCACTGCAGCCTGCTCCCCCCCCCCACCTTGCTGCCTCTGATACAGCAGCAGCGAGGGCAGGAGAAGCAAGTAGTTGAGCAGTCACTCGACTAGTCGCTTACATGTCTAATCTGACCCTGTCTGAACGTAACCTTGCTGCACAGTCTGATTTGTGTCCATCATTGTCGGGACTGGCGCAAGAGCGGAGACCCGCCTGCCCCGTTCTACCCAAGGCTCCCATTCAATCCAAGATGTAGTGGCAATGCACTAGAACCGGTGGGGGGAAAGCAATGGCTCCCCTGTTACCTGCACACATTTCTCTATCCCCTCCACGCTGTAGGGACACACACCTTTACCCAGTTCCTAGGGCTCAAGGTGCAACCCTGTTAACTTACACACCCACCCGTACCCAATTCCTAGGGCTCAGGGTGCATCTTCCTGTGGATTTTGCAGGATCTTTAGCCGCTGAAAGAGCCTCACACAGTAATACCCTTCTCCTCGCTTCACTGACAATTCCCAAACAAGCAGAATACACCTGCTAAGCACACAGTGTCATGCTCACCAATCCGGGTGCAGGCAGACCTCCCCTGTTGGCCAGGCAATATTAGTCTCTCTGGTCTTAGGCTGTCTCTCGCAGATGAGTTCTTCTTTTCTAGGTCTTTCCCCCTTCTCTTGGGCTACGTCTACACTGAAGGCTTTTTGCGCAAGAAGGACTATTCTTGCGCAAAAACTTGCCGGGTGTCTATACTGCACACGTGTTCTTGCACAAGTAAATTTACAGTACAGCGTCAGAAAACAGGGCTTCTTCCGGAAGAGTTATTCCTCTCCCCATGAGGAATAAGCCCTCTTGAGCAAGAGCTCTTCCACAAGAAGGCAGTGTAGACAGGCAACATTGATTTTTCTTGTGCAAGAAACCCCTATGGCTAAAATGGCCATTAGAGTTTTCTTGCGCAAGAGAGTGTTCACACTGCTATGGACACTTTTGTGCAAAAGCACATGGCAGTGTGAACGCGCTCTTGTGGAAAACCTTTTGCACAAGAACCCATGTGCAAAACAGTTCTTGTGCAAGAAGCTGCCAGTGTAGACGTAGCCTTGGTGTTTCTGGTCTTCTTCCAGCCTTTTCTTTCCTTCTGCTTCTGTTACTTCCAATCTTCTTCTTGGTTTCCTCCTTGGACCCCAGTTTATATAACGAAACCTGAGTCCTGTTTAGCTAGACCTTAACCAATTATTTTAGTATAATTTTACTAACTAATCATAACAAAATTACCTAACCAATCAGACCCCACCATCTTAATTGATTTACACCTAGCAAAATTAATTAGACAGCTTACAAACCAGACAGAGCTCACACAGTCAAACGATGGGAAAGTGTAATGACAATGATCATAGAATGCGGATTCCACAACATTCTCTACTGAGAAGCAGTTTCTTGCCAGACAGAATGGGGTGACTTCAGTTTTCTTTGCCCATCCTGAGAGCTGTTTCTTCGCCTGGTGACTAGGGGAGCGATCAGGACAAAGTCCCCTCCTCACAGCTTGGTGTGACGCTTTTTTTTAATACAGTTTAGATCCATGGTCCCCAACACGGTGCCCGTGGGTGCCATGGCGCCCGTGGGGGCATTTCAATGCGCCCGCCAGGTGCTTGGGGCTGGCCTGGCCCCGGGCACATGGCGCAAGAGCTGTTTCTTCGCCTGGTGACTAGGGGAGCGATCAGGACAAAGTCCCCTCCTCACAGCTTGGTGTGACGCTTTTTTTTAATACAGTTTAGATCCATGGTCCCCAACACGGTGCCCGTGGGTGCCATGGCGCCCGTGGGGGCATTTCAATGCGCCCGCCAGGTGCTTGGGGCTGGCCTGGCCCCGGGCACATGGCGCACGGGCGCTTGTGGGGGGAGCATGCTTGGCGGGGGGAGCGCCGGATGCGGAGCCCTTGGAGGGGGCCCTGCCCCCAGGTGCGGGGCCAGGGGGGAGCCTGCCCCCGGGCGCGCTAGTGTCCCCGCCCCCTGGCGCCCAGCGGGCAAACGGCCACGCCCCCTGGCGCCCGACAACCTCAAAAGGTTGGGGACCACTGGTCTAGATGGTGCTTGGTCCTGCCGTGAGGGCAGGGGCTGGACTTGACGACCTCTCAAGGTCCCTTCCAGTTCTAGTGTTCAGTGACTGCATGGGAACAAGCTGTTGTTCAGTCTCCATAGCAGAGCAAAGGGCAGCGAGAGAAAGGGCAATCCTTGGTTTTGAGGCTCTGGTTTTCCCACCAGCCACAGCTCCCAAAGGGACGCTCTGTAGGTGGCCAACCCCACTAGGGTCTGCGGGGCCCCGGGGGTCTGCGGCTGAGATCTGGTCCAAGTGGAGACTCCTGGGATTCCACCCAGCTGAGAGGCCTGATACCAAAGGGGGGGGTGCACTTGGCCAGAACAAGGGATTAAAGGTGAAGCTAGCCCTGAACCCTGACACCATGTAACAAAGTGGCCAGGTACATATGGAGTTAGGAGCGGCCTGAGGTGGGCTGCAGCAGCTGGCGCCCCAGGCGGAATACACGAGCCGCACTCCCGCCTGCATGGCCGTCAATGGGGTGATGTCATCATCGGGCGCTCTGGGCGCCGCATGATGTCATCACAGGGCACCGTTGAAGGCAGCGCCCTAGGCGACGGCCGAGTCGGCCTATAGCCACGGGCCGCCCCTGTATGGAGTCCTGACCAGAAGTCTCCGCAGGGATCAGACCTGGGGCCTTCAGCGCCAAGCTGCATTGGTTAAAGCAGTGATCCCCAACCTTTACAGGCTGCCGGGCGCCAGGGGGCGGGCGGCCCCCCCCATCACAGGGCACCGTTGAAGGCAGCGCCCTAGGCGACGGCCGAGTCGGCCTATAGCCACGGGCCGCCCCTGTATGGAGTCCTGACCAGAAGTCTCCGCAGGGATCAGACCTGGGGCCTTCAGCGCCAAGCTGCATTGGTTAAAGCAGTGATCCCCAACCTTTACAGGCTGCCGGGCGCCAGGGGGCGGGCGGCCCCCCCCATAGCCGTGTGCTCGCCCACCCCCTCTTCCCCCAACTGCCACGCGCCCGGGCCGGCGCTCCTCCTAAACACCGTGAGCCCGGGGCCAGCGCCCCCCCCCTCGCCCTCCAAGCGCCGCGCGCCTGGGGCACGAGCGGCCAATTCGCGGCGCTCCCGGAGCCGGTGCTTACCATGCGCCTGGGCCAGCTCCGGCACAGCACATGCACCACGTGCCCAGGGCCAGGCCAGCCCCGAGCACTTGGCGGGCGCACAAAAATGGCCCCGCGGGTGCCATGGTGCCCGCGGGCACCATGTTGGGGACCACTGATCTAGACCATCCCTGGCAGGTGTCTGTCCAACCTGCTCTTCAGTATCCCCAGTGATGGAGATACCACAACCCCCCGAGGCAATTTATTCCAGTGTGTAACCACCGTGACTGGTAGAAAGTTTTTCCTAATGTCCAACCTACACCTCCCTTTCTGCAGTTTAAGCCCATTGCTTCTTGTCCTATCATCAGAGGCCAAGGAGAACAATATTTCTCCCTCCTCATAACACCCTTTTAGACTCCTGAAAACCGCTCTCATGTCCCCCCTCAGTCTTTTCTTTTCTAAACTAAACAAGCCCAATTCCTTCAGCCTTCCCTCAGAGCTCATGTTTTCTAGACCTTTCCTCATTTTTGTTGCTCTTCTCTGGACCTTCTCCAATTTCTCCACATCTTTCTTAAAATGTGGTGCCCAGAACTGGACACAATCCTCCAATTGAGGCCTAATCAGCACAGAGTAGAGTGGAAGAATGACTTCTCGGGTCCGGTTCACCACACTCCTTTAAGTCCTGGCTTGACAAAGCCCTGGCTGGAATGATTGAGTTGGGGTTGGTCCTGTTTTGGGCAAGGGGCTGGACTCGATGACTCGAGTTCTCTTCTAGCCTTAGGGTTCTATGAATGCATCCCAGAATCAGATCTGCTTCCTTTTTTTGCAACAGCATCCCACTGCTGTCTCGTATTTAGCTTATGGTCCACTCTGACCCCTAGATCCCTTTCAGCAGTACTCCTTCCTAGACAGTTACTTCCCATTCTGTATGGGTGAGACTGATTGTTCTTTCCTAAGTGGAGTGCTTTGCATTTGTCCTTATTAAACTTCATCTTGTTTACCTCGAACCATTTCTTTAATTCGCCAAGATCATTTGGAATTTTGCTTATCTGTGCTGGCTTAGGTAGGCTTAGCTTCTCCAGACACCTCCGCTTCCCAGACTGGGTTCAGTTGGCTTCCTCGTAGCCCTGTGTCTGTCTCCCCCTGTGCTCCAGGGGTTCAGCTTTTTCCACTCCAAAGGTCTTTGTTTCCATTTTCTCATCTGGATTTCCCCCTCCCCTCTACCAGTCCAGGGGCTGTTAAGCTCCGCATGGGCAGAAGCAAACTTCAAAGGGACTTAAATCTGCATTGTCCCTTTAAGTGTCCAGGCATGGAGGGCTGTCAGACATATTCCTGCTTGCAGGGCCAATGAACGCCTGAACTAACCCTTGGAAATCCTAGAACAGCCACACAAACGGACTGTAGTAGCCATGAAATATTACAGGCATCCGCCTTTACACACGCTCGCAGAAGCAAGTGGCCTGTGCTGCCAACTCTGTCCATTTGAGCATCTCTCTCTCCTTGGCTCCAGAGACTTTGATTCAATTCCTGACCTGCTGGGTGACCTCAGTCAAGTTATGCCACCACTGCCTGCCTCAGTTTCCCCATCTGTGAAACAATACAACCTTCCCTCTGTACAGTGCTTGGTATCTACGGCTGGTAGGGGCTACATATGTGCTCGGGACAGTCGCTGTCTGCGCTTTCTTGCCTGCGTGTCCTCAGCCACTGATGTGCTGCAGGGCTGGGCCTGTGCGCTTGTCTGTAACCTCCTGGCGTCTCCGTTGCAGGAGGAGGAGGGCAAGGATGACTCGGACACGCTTGATCTCTACCAGCAGAGCCTGGGCGAGCTGCTGCTTATGTTAGCTGGTGAGTTACAGCCCGTGGCGGGGTTCTCGCTGGCCGTGCTGGGACCTCGCTCAGCCACGCAGCCCGGGCACACGGCTCTTCTGCGCAGTGCTGGAGGCTCACGCTGCCTGTCCTCTCTCCAGCAGAGCCCGTGGGCCGGAGGCGGGAGCTGCTTCACGCCGAGGTACGTCCCAAGGGGCAGCCGAATGGGGGGGGTCAGTTACCGGCACCCTTGTTTTTAGCATTCGCCTCCATCCTTCCGGCGAGGGTTGGTGGGATGACCCCTGGCTGGACACTGTGAGCCTGGGGCGAGATCGCGCCCCCCCCCCAGGGGTGTGGCAGCCGGTTCATTGCTGCGGGCGGCCTTCTGAGGAATGCGAGCCTGTCAGGAGCAATCCTGCTCTGAGCTCCTTGGCCACCGGCTAGATCAGCTGGTGGGGTGGAGCCAGGAGACGGGGTGGAAGCCAGGGGAGGGGCTCGTGGTGGGAGCTCACCTGAGACAGCAGCTAGATCAGTGGTCCCCAATCTTTTGGGGCTGCCGGGCGCCCAGGGGCGGGGACGCCTGTATGCTGCGCGCCCAGGCCCGGCACAACCCATGCATTGTGTGCCCGGGGGTGGGGCTGCCCCTGTGCCGTGTGCCCAGGGGCGAGGCTGGCCCCAATCACTAGGCGGGTGCACAGAAATGGCCCAGCGGGCACCGCGTTGGGGAACACTGCGCTAGATCCCTGCATCAGGGAAGATCTGGTGTGAACCTGGGCGGGAGATGGAAGGAAGCGCTTCCTGCCTCTCGGTTCTAGAACAGCCCCATAGCCCCCCTTCTGCCTCTTGGAGTTGGAGAGAGAAGGAGCAGCCTCCTCCCCTTCCCTGGCTTCTTCCTATGATCCAAAGCCCACAAACCTGGGCAGCTGCAAGGGCTGCGGGGCATGCTGGGTTGCCCCATGTGCCAGGCTAGTGCCCTAACCACTAGACAGCGCTATCTCCCTTGAACTAATCGAGCTGGGTTGGTCCAGATCGGCCTCCTGCAGATCCCAGCTCCTTCCCCACCTCCAGTCCCTGCCGGGCGACTCTCCTGAGGTTAAACATGTTGCGTTCTCCCAGGGAACCAAGCCTGGCTCCCGGCCGCTAGGCTGCCGGGCGGCCCCCCCCCCCTCAGCTTGGCTGTGACTCGGGTGGCGCCGTGGTAGAGCTGGGTGACTGACCGTGTGTGTCTCGCCCGCAGATCCAGACTCTTATGGGCCGGGCGGAGTATCTGAAAGAGCAGATCAAGGTACAGGGGGACTGGGGGTGGGTGGATTCAGCGTGTGGGGTGAGGGCCGGGGTGTAAGAATGGCCTGGGTGGGATTTGGGGTGTGGCCTGCTGGGG